GATATGTGATATATCAGTGAATCAGATTCACATATCTGTGAAGTCAAATCACATAACTGTGAATTCAAATCACTGATTTAAGAAATCAAATCACATATCTTATCTGTTATTTGAATTCACAGTTATGTGAATTCAAATAACAGATATGTGATTCAAATTCACATATCTGTGAATTCGAATCACATATCTGTGATTTTGAATATGGAATTTACAGATATATTGAGTGATTTCACAGCTATGTGAATAGAATCACATTAATGTGAATTCAATTAACATATCTTAATTGAAATCACGGATGTGTGATTTGAATTTACATATCTGTAATTTAAATCAAGCATATGTAACTGAATTCACATATCTGTGAATGAAATTCACATATCTGTGAATCCAATTCACATATCTGTGAATCCAATTCACATATCTGTGAATGAATTCACTTATATGTGAACTTCATTCACGTATATGTGAATTGGATTCGGATCAGATTTCAGTTACATATCTGTGAATCCAATTCACTTATACGTGAATGAATTCACGTATATGTAACTGAAATTCAGGGTGAGTGGAGTCATTTGGTATGTAGTGACCGAGGTGTAGGTTAGGTTACTTAGGTTAGTTGACCTAACTTACATCTCTTATCATCGGTACTATCTACTGTGGTACCGGTTATCTAACCCAGGGGCCGACGAACCACTTAGGGTTGGTCGCCCCCTGGTGGTGTGGAGATACTACAATTCACCCCACCAAGATGAATATCTTCCTCCCACCAAAACCTCCAACCGCCCAACAATATAAGTTCAATCCTATTGTTCGGAATCGATCACTCCCTGCCCCAGTTAGACGCTGTTTGCTCCTTCGTTGTCGGACTCCGTTCTACGAACCGGGAGTCATATGGCCTACTGTCCAGGGAGTGAAGATTCGATATAAGAGTTGGAACAACTCAGTCCGTAGGGAAGATAATAAACCCAAAAGATCGTTCTTTTCGTTTGTGAGTGAATTATTCTTTCTTACCTTGCTCAAATGAAGATAAACATATTAATGTATTGTGATTCCTCTATCTTTTAAGATCGATACTTTTTAGTCAGCTTGATAGGTTTCCGATTACATAGAGCGATCGATTAAAATATTGTTATTCTAGCTGGATTGGACTTTATTTGAAAGAAAATACTTCGATCTTGAATTGCTTTGTATAGTAAGCTCTTCTTACTATTATATATTTCTTCTCATCTATTTAAGAGTGTTATCTTGATGTTGATATATTTTGGTCATTAGATACTGGAAACTTACCTCGATCAGAATTCAATCAATCAATTGAAAAATTTCAAACGCAGAGATTCAAAATCTTGAACTTGAATCGTAAGTTTTTGGAAACAAATTATATCTAAATGCAAAGATTTTGCATTTTTTGATAATAAAAAACATTTGATTTTGCACCAAGATGACACGGAAAAAAAGTACCGAGAGAAAGAAGAGAGCGGGTATCAAGGTTCCTAGTTTTAAATCCAGAACTTCCCCTAGTTACTACAAATCAAGAGATCGGTATCGTAAGGAGAAGACAATCGGACGGCCTTTCTATCGACGTCATGTCAAGAGAACTGAATTGAAAGCTCGATTAATCAAAGAACTGGGTCTACCATCGAATACTATCTTTATATTCCGGTATAGTGATAAGGATCGACCAGATTTAGCAGATCGTGAAAGATTGGTAATTGAGTTTGGTACTGTGGTGGTAATCAACAAGCGGGATTTATCATTAGTATTAGCTGTGAGATGTGTACCATTTGAAGATATGGATCCCCGGCTTAGAGAACAATATAATCATTCTATCTCAACCTCGTTTCTACATGCACGTGCTAGGAACCGGTGTAAAACACACTGCTCACTCCAAGCTAGGGATGCTGATATTGAGGGGGATGAAGATCTTGGTTGGATGGGTTGTGGTGGTTGGCGAGGTGGATGTGAAAAAGAGAAATCCGCAGGTGGCTATTTTGGGCTTAGAATAAATTCCTCTGTAATACTTAACTGAATATCTCTTGCTGATAAGATCATAATTTTGAACACTTTGAGTAGGTGGTTATTCGATGAATGCCTTCACATCAGGAAACATAGATCGACTACTTACGGATAAACAAAGGATGGAAGAGTTTCATATTATACGTGATTTCTGGGCAGAAAGATTCTCTACTTTATCCCTTTTTGTGTTTAAATCTAATCTTGCTCTAGCCTTTCAAGCGAAAATTCCTGGGTTTGATGCTCTGGAGTGGCAAGGTACTCCGAATGGTCAGGTTTTTGCATCTAATCTGGTTGTTACCTGTGATGGATTTCATAATCATCCTCACACTGACAAAGATCATACTAGATATTCATTTGGGATGTGGTCTTTAATTATCAGAGCTACTGGGCAACCATATGACAAAGATCAAGGTGCAATTGTACGGGGGAAAGCTGGAGTTAAGCTTGGCGATGTAAGAGGTTCAAGATTTGTAGTGGATGAATTTGGAGTTGAAGTCGCTGTAGGTGGTAATGCCATTTATGATGTCTTATGGGATTCCAAAGTAAGTAAATGATTTAAATTCTCAAGTACTTGATTTCGTTCCTGATTGCAATTTGTTAATTTTAAGATTGAGCATTACACAACTCCCGCCATATCATACAATGATAAAGACCAAGAAATTCCTCACAAAAAATCCCCCATCACTTTGTATGGATCTTCTTGTCAGATTTCGGAATCCTTGGTTCAAAGAATCAAGCTTCTTGGAGAGAAGAAAGAGGGTATGTCGGATATAGATTGGGAGAAATATTGTAAGCTCAGGATCAAAGGCTATGATGAAGAATTTAATAAAAAGATGTCCAAGGCAGAAGAGAAAGAACTTTTACGAATTGAGGAGCAGCAGAAGAAAATGGAGCTCAAATCCCAAATGACTCAAATGAAAAATACTTGTTAGAGATTCCATTTTTTCTATTTTTTTTATTTTTCTTTGGTGTCTTTTCCTATTATTTGTACATAAACAGAGTCTCTATATAATGTTTTGTTAGATTATGAAATGTGTTTTTCTGGTCTTATGTGTGGTTATTGAAATACGCTAAAAACAAGCAATTTGAGATTGAAAAGAAGGAAGTTCTTTTACACTAGGGTGGGTGAATGAATTTCAACCTGACGTAAATTCCGTCTCAAGATTCACATAACGGTGAAAATCATTCACCCTGATGTAAATGAATTTACAGCTTTTCATTTTCAAAATAAGACCATCTGGTTTAACTATCACATGTTTATAGGTGTTAATCAACAATCAGGGTTTTGTAAATTGAAATCAGGCAATGGTTTTCACATCAGGGAATGGTATGTGTGTGTAAATCTTCAAAAGAGACAATCTTGATATTTTGTCATCAGGACAAACAATGGTTTTGGTAAGTGTTTTTTCACCACTCCAATTCTACCACACATATTTTTTCCAAGCCATTTTTTCTGAGTATGTACCACACATAAAATGAGTTGAATATATATATGTATATGTTTCTCTGTGATCACTATCAAAGTGTGTAGTGATGTTTTTTCATCAGTACACGGGTACCTGGAATTGTTTGGGTTTTTTTCAACACAACTTTTCCTGTGTAAGTACCACCCTGAATCTGAGTGGATATTCAGACTCAGGGTCTTTGAATGGTCCTATGAAAGACTGCTCAAGGATATATGTATCTGTGATCACTATCAAAGTGTGTACTGATGTTGTTTTTCCATCAGTACACGTATACCTGGATTTGTAATTTTTTTTTCATCACAACTTTTTCTGTGTAAGTACCACCCTGAATCTGAGTGGATATTCAGACTCAGGGATCTTGATTGGACCTATGAAATACTACTCAAGTATACATAGGTCCGGGATCACTATCAATGGATGCAGTGTTGTTGTTTTTCCATCAGTACACGCATACGTGGAATTGTAAGTGTTTTTTCATCACACCTGTTTCTGTGTATGTGCCACCCTGATTCTGAGTGGATATTCAGACTCAGGGACCTTGATTGGACCTATGACAGACTGCTCAAGGATATATGTATCTGGGATCACTATCAAAGGGTGTACTGTGGTAAGTTTACATCAGTACACGCATACGTGGAATTGTAAGTGTTTTTTCAACACACCTTTTTCTGTGTATGTGCCACCCTGATTCTGAGTGGATATTCAGACTCAGGGATCTTGATTGGACATATGACATACTACTCAAGTATACATAGGTCCGGGATCACTATCAATGGATGCAGTGTTGTTGTTTTTCCATCAGTACACGCATACCTGGATTTGTAAGTGTTTTTTCAACACACCTTTTTCTGTGTATGTACCACCCTGATTCTGAGTGGATATTCAGACTCAGGGACCTTGAAAGGTCCTATGATATACTACACAAGGATATATGTATCTGGGATCACTATCAAAGGGTGTACTGTGGTAAGTTTACATCAGTACACGCATACATGGATTTGTAAGTGTTTTTTCAACACACCTTTTCCTGTGTAAGTACCACCCTGAATCTGAGTGGATATTCAGACTCAGGGACCCTGAATGGTCCTATGACATACTACCCAAGTATATATGTATCTGGGATCACTATCAAAGGATGTACTGACGTTGTTTTTCCATCAGTACACGCATACCTGGAATTGTTTGGTGTTTTTTCAACACACCTTTTCCTGTGTAAGTACCACCCTGAATCTGAGTGGATATTCAGACTCAGGGACCCTGAATGGTCCTATGACATACTACCCAAGTATATATGTATCTGGGATCACTATCAAAGGATGTACTGACGTTGTTTTTCCATCAGTACACGCATACCTGGAATTGTTTGGTTTTTTTTCAACACAACTTTTCCTGTGTAAGTACCACCCTGAATCTGAGTGGATATTCAGACTCAGGGACCTTGAATGGTAGTATGACATACTACACAAGTATATATGTATCTGGGATCACTATCAAAGGATGTACTGTGGTTTCACATATATGTGACCTTGATTCACAACAAGTGAATCAAATTCACTTGATTCACATCTATGTGAATCAAGCTCACATATATGTGAAACCATTTTCAAGATCTACTCCTGGAGACTTCATCTTCACACGTAAGCACTACCTGATTTCACATATATGTGAATTCAGTTCACATATATGTGATTTCAGTTCACATATATGTGAATCCAGTTCACATATTTGTGAATCCAGTTCACATATATGTGAATCCAGTTGTGTGATCTAAATCAGATTATCTTATCCTCCAAATGAAAAACAATTAGAGCAATGTGAATATTTGTTACTTTCTATTCATAAATGGACAGCAAGAATGAGTTTCAAAACAGGAGTTTCATTCTAAACATGGTTTTCAATCTATTACAATGTTAGAAGCAATCTTAATTTTCTCAATATTTATTCCTCGTCAAAATCTTCACCTAAGCCATTCCACTCCTCTTCTGAGCCGATTAGGTCATCAGTTTCCAGGTTATTTTGAATATCTTGAGTCATCATTACATCTTGTTCAGAATCAGAATTACCAGGGTTATTATGATCTTCATGTTCATCGTCAGAGTGGGAGGATGACATTTTAACTATCTTGAAAAGGTGTGCCTGGACATCTTCCAGCCAAATCTTCCTACGGCTGTTCATACCATTGAATCCTAGCTTCAAGACCTCCTTTGGAAGTTTTGATCCACGTAATTGAATGATTTTGAGTAAATACTTGTTTTCCAAAATCCTTTCCGGATCAGGTCCTCTTGGAAATCCATGTTCGTAGCCAATCATTTTACCTAAAACACACAGAGGTATTTAATTTAGGTGATTAAATATTACAGGAATGAAAAAATGTTACTTACTAAATTTAGATCGAAGTAAAGCAGCCAGATCCATCTTAACTTTATCTCCAGGATCAGTCTTTCGAGACTTCTCACTTTCAACCATAGTACTTCCTCCAATCGTAGCCGCAACGGCCTCAGCAACGGAGAGGCCTTGGACCCGAGCTGCAAATACAGTTCCGAAGTTACTTTTCTTGTTTACATACAACGCCATCTCTTGGTGTGATGTGAACTCTTTGCACCATCCGGGAGAAGATGAGCTTGACTCGGTTTCAGCGTGTGTGCTGCAAGCTAGAAGATAGTAAGCAAAATCCATGTTCTTGGATTCGTTATGAAGCTACGAAATAAGAAATATTCTTTCAGCAAAGATCCGTGCAAGAAGAAACAGTATATATAAAAATTTGCTTACCTGAGTGTGAATACGCTCCAAACATTTCTTTGATTTTTGATTGTAATCAGGCAGAGTTGGTCCATCTGGAATGCCGGCTGTCATCTTAGCATAATCCTGAGCTACCCTCTCCTTACAAACTAACTCATCATATAAAGCCTGTAAGTGAGTTCGTTCTTCAGGGTCAAGCACCAGAGGTTGTACAGGTTCTTCATCTTCATCATCACTTCCTTCAACAGCGGAATGTGAAAGACCGGAAAGAGCATAAAAGACAGGAGGATGAAATACTCTGCGGTGATCCAGAGGGAGAGCCGTCCAGAGTTCCCCAAGACGCTTATTTCTAGCGCCTAATATCCCAGTCTGACCGCCTGCAGGCACTAAAATAAAGCATAGATTGTTAGTTCAAAATCTTGATAGTGGTACTCACGGCTTATCAATAAGATGAATTTTCAACTCACTGTTGTGTCGACGTCTCTCTTTGCTGTATCTTAGCCACTTCTGGTAAGCTCCAGATTCCCGAGTTCCTCCAATCTCGCCTCTGTAGAATGAATCAGACAGACTTAGTGATGTAGAAGTATAGATGGAAAAAAGGAAAAGGTTAGAGGTTCACGACTTACAAGGCTTTGTTAAGAGTGAAGGTAGTCACATTGCCCATTAAAGCCAGCATAGACTTGTGGTGGTTGTATAGCTCTTGAAGTGCTTCAGCTTCGGTCAAGATTTCAGGCGGAACACTGGTTGAATGCTTCTTCTGTTTTCGAGATTGCACAGTAATTCGACCCATTGGCCAGTCGTTAAGTAGATCTTTGTACTCTTTGATGGTAGGTAAGATTACATCGTCCTCAATCACATCTTCCTCGTTTGGAAGGTTAGTCCGATCATGATTGTTGCTTGTCTCGTGGGGTTCATGTTGGGCAGGATGTGAATCGGGGTCAGGTGAGAACTGGCTTGCAAGTCGATTGAAGAGATCGTCGTTATCTGAATTAATATGAGATTCGGCTAGTAGATTCCTGTGGGAAGCTCGACGTGATGCTACCGGGCGAAGATTAAGATCTGGATCGGAATCAGAAGACTCATCTTCATGATAATCATCGTCATTCGGGTTATCTGAGTCATGAATAGTCGAACGAGGTCTTTTATTTTGAGTCCGGAGGGTTTTCACTCTCTCGCTGGAGACTCTACGTTTTTGGCGAGTAAGGGGGATGGGAGCTGATTGAGAGACTTTTCGTTTTTTTTTGGTGTTCTGAGCTGGATGTAGCCGTGAGGAGAGGGACAGTGAACCTCGAGTGGTAGGCATAGTGTTGGACTTTGGGCTTCAGGCGAAGAGCAGTTTGATTAAAGCGATGAAAGGGGGAAAAAAAGTGTCATATGAAAGCACGAAAGAGGAGTAAAAATACATATCTATCACTTACATATGTAAGTTCAGTACTTATTGATTAAATATGTCCGTTCAGTAAATGTTGAACTTCTACATACAGACTACGAGACTGATGTGGAATAGTATACACACCATGTATATAGATTGACCTATATACAAGGTGTGTATTCTACTCTGGTTGTCCACGTTAGTCTGATATACAAGATGAATCGCACTAGTCAAGGGAAATGCCAAAGCGCTTTCCTCTATTTGAATAATAATTTCAAGTGAAGATGGTTAGAGGTTTAGTATGGGCTTGTGGAAACAGGGGCAACAGCCCCTGTCCGCTTTCAGTTGAAAGTTGAAGAGATGTCAAAGCACTCATCAAGAAAGGGGTGAACCCCTTAGTATCATCTGATGTATCCCATCAGAAAACCAAACCTCTCGCGCAAATCATTCCCCAACTGAAAATTTAAAGTATCCACGCAATTTTTTTTTATTTTATCATTTCAAATCTCTTGAAAATTCTGCACTGGAAGAACAATCCACACTTAAACATCATTGCAAGTACTTCAATCATCAAGAATCGTCGATAACATGGGGAGAAAAGGAAATTCTATCGCATGTCCACTAGGTGTATCCAACAAGAAAAGGCGCACAAAACCCAAACCTGAAGGGTCTGCGGTGACTGTTGCCCAGCTTGCAGTCAGCAATTCACAATATGTGAATAATCGTATAGCTGAGATCAAAAAGGCTCTTCAGCAGGCAGGCGAAGGCGAGATGGAATTGGATGCTCAGATAACCCATGAGCTCAATCATGATCTTCAGATACAGGACCAAGATCACCTTAATAACATACTCCCACAACCGCAGGATGCTGGTGTTGATCCTGACGTGCTACCGGCCGTAAATATCCCCTTTGCAAATTATGTACAAGGCTCATATTACAAAAAGAAAAAACTTAAAGAACACAAGAACTGGAAGAAGGCGTACCCAGAAATGTTCATTTCATACATGACCTTGGCACAAGCCACATCACAATGGGGTAAGAACTCGAATTGGAACACTGATCACAACAAAGACTGTTGCTGTGGTGTCAGTCACCAAAGAATCCGTAAGGTTGACATGGTTGATATTCTGGGTGTGTAGTTGTTTTGGAATCTATGCATATGTGCTTACAGAACACGTATATGTGATTGCAGAACACGTATATGTGATTGCAGATCACATATATGTGAATTGAATTCACATATATGTGAATTGACTTCACATATATGTGAATTGACTTCACATATATGTGAATTGACTTCACATATATGTGAATTGACTTCACATATATGTGAATTGACTTCACATATACGTGAAGTGTTCACATATATGTGAATGGAATTTGTGAAATCAATTCACATATATGTGAACACTTCACGTATATGTGATCACATTTATCTGATCTCTTTCACATATATGTGATTACTGATCACGTATATGTGATCTGTAATCAGATACATGTGATCTCTGTCACATATATGTGATATCTTTCAAATCCACTGATACCTTGGACCAAGTCCGTCTGATAAGGATGGGTTATATAGGTGGCTCTCCAGTACATCCGGGGACGGCTTACTCAATCAGGTTACTCCGGTTGCACCACAGCTTGTGGAAATACTGTACAGTGCGAACTCAAGGATTTACACTTGGCTTGGATGAATTTCTGGATCCTGCGAATCCCCTTATACTGACAAAATCCTCTCAGGCAAGTGAAAGTTTATTGAGTCAAAAGTTTTCGAGTAATCAAGTTTCAATCCGTCTGATTAAAATTAACTACCACTTCAGCCTCGACTTTGGCGAAAGACTTTTTCTTCAGCCATTGATGCATATCGACATATGCTACGGAAAGAGAAGGATCTCGCCATATGTGCACTGTTTCTCACGGCTTTGGACCAGCTTGCTATGAATTGTCCAAGGTGTTTTGGTCCTCTTCAGCCAAATGAAGAGCCAGACGAGTGTGACTATCATTTTTGCGCTGACGGGAACTTTCAACACCGTCGACATCTTGCTGCAAGCCGGGAGTATGAGGAAAAGGAGATTGAAACCCCTCGACTTTTCCTGGAACCTGGAAAGCTGAATCAATGGAAGGAACGTGTTGATAAAAAGGGAGTGGATAAAGGGCCTGTGGTATGTGGCTTTTATATTTTTCAAATGTGAACTACATTCACATGTAGGTGAATGTGATTCACATCTAGGTGAATATCATTCACCTCCATGTGAATCTCATTCACCTCCATGTGAATCACATTCACCTCCATGTGAATATCATTCACCTAGATGTGAATGTGATTCACCTAGATGTGAATTGTGATTCACATGTAGGTGAATCACCTTCACATCTAGGTGAATGATATTCACATGGAGGTGAATTGAAAGATATGGGAAATCTGATGGAATTTTTGAGTGGTTGCAGGATCCGTGTACAGCATCCCATACTGCCGCTTCAGACCGCCGTGGACAGTCAACTTGGAAGGGATGTGATGAAACTGGATTGATTGGTTTGGTTTGTCGACATGATCATGTCCTTAAATTTGTAAATGTAGTTCAGAGCGGTGAGAAGTAAGTCATTTTACGTTCATACTGTGATTTTGATATGACCTGATGGATCCACTGTTGTGTGACACAGGCAGTATTTTGTATTGGCTTTGGTTGATCAACTTATGGAAGATACATTGGAGGCGGGGAAACCACAAAAAAGTTTTGCACTCTTATATGACATTGGCTGCACGTTGGAGAAGAGTGTTAAGAAGGTAGAGAAATATCTGTGGAATTATTTTGTGGTGTTGCTGACCAAACACCATACAATCACAGCATAAATACTTTGAGGAGGAATATACGGGAGGTAGACTGAAATTTGCAACGAGTGCCTTTCATGCATATGCGCACCAGTGGTCATGTCAGCTTAAATATAATCCGAGGTTGAACAAGGGCTGGGGGTTGACAGATGGGGAGGGTAATGAGAGGGTTTGGTCCGACACTGCACCTCTGATAGCACCAAATAGATGTGCAACAAAGCAACACAGAGTTGATTCCATTGATTTGAAGGCAAGTCATGGGAATGAACTGCGCTGTAACAATGCTGGTATGTTTAGTCTTTATTTGATGAGATGAACCGGATTGAAAGTTTCATTTTTTTGAAAATCCAGCTAGATCAACCGAATTGAAGCTCAAGACTGCAGAAGAAAAATTAGCAGCATCCTCAAACACCCTCCAAAGGTTACAGGCTCAAGATATCAGCTTTACACACACGTATTTCTCAAGTCAGTGGGAGCGGCAGAGAGAGTTGCAGCTAGCTGCCATGGAAGAAGGAGGTGTGCAAGAGAGATTAGAAAAGCATTTAATTGCTCTACTTGACATGGAGGAGGAGGTGAAAGAGGCTCAGTGAGTCTCATCCTTTTGGATTTGATTGGTTGTCGTGTTGACTTTGATGAATGATTCAGGCGGGAGCTCAAGCTTCTTCGAAGGAAAGGGAGAGCAAATCGGACAGAAGACGAGATGGAAAGATTTATGTCCTTACCTGCTTCAATTGTGGCGATGGAGAAGGCAATTTTTGATATTGCAGAAGAGTTGGGAACCCCGGAGTTTCGTGATCTTCAGAGGGCTACTGGTGAGTA